GGGTCAGGGCACCTACAAGAATTGACCAGCGAATGCATAAAAGAACAAATCAATGTTTCTCTCCCTTCCTCTCGCACTCTCTTTTTCCTCTCTCTCTAAAATCATTCAATAAAAAAATAAAATAAATAAGTGAGCCCTGGCTGATATGGCTCAGTGGTTAGAGTGTCGTTCCTCACACCAGAGAGTCTCGGGTTCAATTCCCAGTCAAGGGCACATACTTGGGTTGAAGGTTTGATCCCTGGCCCTGGGTAAGGATTAACAACAACAAAAAAGTGAATATTTGTAAGCTGCATAACATAGAACTTGGTAGATTGTAAGCACTACGCAAGCACTTGATAAATACTTCCGGACATTATTATGGGCTTTCAACGTGCAGCATTTTCTGTGAGGCCCCTTGACTCCCACAGCTCTGTAAAGCTGTACACCAATCCCCATCGTCTCAGATGAGGGGCCTGAGGCCCCAGGGGCCAAGTGACTTCTCTGGAACCATCAGACAACAAAAGGTTGAGCAGGATGGAAACTTGGCTTAGTTCCCAAATCGAGGGCCTGTGCACTCACCCACAGTAAGGGGCTTTACGCAGATTGCGGGCTGGCTTCACTGCCCAGGTGCCTTCCTCTGGGTGTCCCCTCGGTGGACACTGGCTGAGAGCTGGGCGCACGCAGACCCATTACCCCAAGCACAGACACCCTTCCCAGCCACGTGGACGCGCCTCTCCTGGTCTCTCATCCACTGTGTCAATGCTGCGCAAGTGCTTAGCCTTGTCCTGTGACCCTGATGTGCTTGAACTTCTCCTCCTGACCCTGGTCCTGGAGGCTGGAAACACGGGCCACTGGAGTTGGTATTAGAAAAATAAAATGCATTCACTGTAGGAATTTTAGAAAGTAAAAATCCCCTCTAGGAGTCTTCTGTATTTGGCATGGTCCTTCCAGGTCTTTTTCCTATAAGTACATGTTATATAAAATATATAAAAATGAGATCATACTGGTCCTATGAACTGTAACTTGATTTCTCTGCCTGGTTTTGTGTGACCATCTTTCTATGTTCTTAAACATTCTCCTATAACCTAAAGTGAGGTCTGTTCAGAGCTGAGAAAAAGTTGAGAGCTGAGTGCAGAGCTTTGCAGGTGTGAATAGTGGGTGGCCCTGCAGTGGGGGTAGGGAGTCAAAGACCCAGTCATCTGGTTGACTGCTGGTGTGACCAGGGCATGGAAAGCAGCCGCTACCAAGTGCCTGTGAAGCAGAGTGACCCCTTTTAGAATCCTGCAGGTTCCCCAGGGACCCTTGGCTTCCTACAACCTCTGGGCTTTTTTGAGACAGCATGTAGGGGAGGGCACTGAGGTGCTGTGTGGCTGAGAGGTGGTGTGTACGCTCATCATGCATCATACATGCACCGTCAGCGCATAGTTCACCAATTATTGCACCTGGATCACCCTGATCAAAACGTAGTCAGCATCCCAAACACCCTGCCACTCACCCCACCCCCCCTACCCCCTGCCAAAGGCAACCACTGCTCGACTTCTAAAGACAGGTTAGTTCTGGCTGCGTTTGAACCTTATATAAGTACATACATGCTTGTGTCAGCATCTGATCAACCTGTGCACATGGGGCCCGTCTGCTGCCACGTTTCTCTGCACAGGCAGTTGTTTGGGTTTACGTTGGTCTGTGGATGGGCACTGAGCAGGGGCTGGTTTTCTGCCATGAAGGTTCTCACGTGTGAGTGCAGGTTGCATTTCTGCTGGGAATTTGATGCTTGCGTGGGTCCCAGGTGTGCCCTGTCGTGGAGGCCTGGGCCCGAGCCTGCAGGGCTGCTGTGCACGTCTGCTCTCTCACTTTGCATTCACAAGTGTTTTATATGTTATGAAATATATAACATGTACTTATAGGAAAAAGGTCTGGAAGGACGATGCCAAATACAGAAGACTCCTAGAGGGGATTTTTACTTTCTAAAATTTCTATAGGGAATGCATTTTATTTTTCTAATACCAACTCCAGTGGCCCGTGGTTCCAGCCTGGAGGACCAGGGTCGGGGGGAAGGACAAGCACATCAGGGTCACAGGACAGGGCTGAGCACTTGCGCAGCATTGACACAGTGGATGAGAGACCAGGAGAGGCGCGTCCACGTGGCTTTGTTCAGTGTTCCCCTGAGGACAGATGACCCAAGTAGGTGGTCTCCTCTCTAGCAAGGTGTCTACTTGCCTCCCCGGTTTTTCTGTCCCAGCCACAGGGACAATCCTCTGTGCTGCTGTGTTGCTTCACATTCATTCTCAGGTCCTTGTCACGTTCTCACTGAGGACAGATGACTGCAAGTGCCAACCCTTCCCCAGTCCAGTGTCAGACACCGCTGGGTTGCAGGCGAGGTGTTGAGAGACTGAGCCACCTCCCGGGCGCAGAAGCACTTTCTGGCCTTGAGGGCCATGGTGGACACCGTGTGTGCCCCTCGTTACCGGCTTTGTCGTGGCCTGTGTGACCTGCCCCAGCCAGGAGCCAGCGAGTGGTGAGGGAACAGACACCCAGCTCCTTTGCCTGGAGGTGGGACAAACCCTGTGGGTATCTCATCCAACTACTTTTTCATGTTTTTTAAAGTCATGATAAAATATATATAACAGAATTGACCGTGTTAACCATTTTAAGTGTGCAGTTCAGGCACAGTAAGTATAATTGTATTGTGTGACCCCATCATTTCCAGAACGTTTCCATCCCCTTAACAGAAACTGTCCCCATTGAAGTAATATCTGCCCCGGCTCCCAGTGAGCTCTGGTCTGCTTTTTGCTTTTTGCATCTGCCTATTCTGGGGACCTCGCATAAATGGAATCAGACAGTGTTCGTCTTTTGTGACTGGCTTGTTTTACTGAGTGTCATGTCCTCCAGGTCCATTCGTGTTGTAGTAGGTGTCAGAATTTCTTCCTTTTCATGGCTGAGTCATATTTCATCGCATTTTGGTTATCCGTTCATCTGTCAATGGACACATGGGCGCTCCCACCTTTGGGCTGCTGTGAATGATGCTGCTGTGAGTGCGGGTGTGCAGACAGCGTCCTGCTCTCAGTGCTTTTGAGCGTCTCCTTAGAGCAGATGTGCTGGGTCGGATGTCTGCACCATTATCCTACGTTCCTGAGGTCCCAGGCTCATCTGAATCGGGCTTCACCTGAACCCTCCCCTCTCCTGCTGCTTTCCCTCTGGTCCCTGGGAGCAGCTCCTTCATGAATCTTGCACTTGAATCCTTGTCTCAGGCACTGCAGAGAGCATCCAACCTTGGACACCCCAAGGCGTGGTGTGGTCTTCTGCGAAGACACGGATGGGAGTGATGAATGATAACAGCCATTCTATTTTTCCTGCCTCCTAGTCCCTAATAAGTTTTGCTCTGACTTGAAAACCACAGCAACCCTGGTACATAGCAGAATGCAAGAGTCCTATCTGGGACTTTTGGAAACGAACAACTAGGAGCAAATTCATGCGTTCAGAATTCTAATTATGCCCTGGCCGGTGTGGTTCAGTTGGTCGGGCATCAACCTGAGCATTGAGAGGTCCCAGTTTGATTCTCCATCAGGACATATGAGTTTCGAGCTCGATGCGGGATGAGGAGGGGGTAGACTCCATGTCCATGGGCGACCAGGACTAAGGAAGCTCCTGACCTGGGGTGAGGACCTGGCCAGACAGAGACCTGGCTGCATTTGCCCCTGCCTCAGGCCCTCTAGTGGGTCAGGTGATTCTGCCAACGAGTGTGTCCTGGGCCAAGTCCATCCAACTGGTGGGCCTCAAAGCAGCAGGTGGGGTTCCTCTTACTCCTCCACCACCCCTTCAAATGCAGGCTGAAAAATTCACAGGTTACTGGGAAAATGGTCACTTGTCACAGAGCTCTGCACCGGACTTGGAGCATCCCTGAGGTGTGAAAGTTGAGTCAGGGAAGGCTATGGCTGGCCGCCTACAAGCTTTACAAATATTAATTCAGTCATCTTCACAACCAGAAGAAGTAGGTGTCATTATTATTTTATCCTGTTTTACAAATGGAGCAGAAAAGTGAAGTTACTTGCCTGAGGGCACTCAGTTACTAGGTGGCAGAGCTGGCACCTGAACCTGTGTGGTCTTGTTCATGCTCTACAGCCCCAAACACAGCCTTTTCCCACAGTGACCATGGCAGTGGGGGCTCTGACACCACCCACGCTTCTCTGGGTGTCTCCTTCACAGTCTACTCGTCCCCAAAGTTCAGCTCACATTGCAGTCTACTCTTTGCCTCTGTGCTTGGTCCTGCATTTGGCTGTTTGCAGGACAAGCGTGAATCTTTGCAGCTCCACGGTGAAGGCCAAGGAAGCAGCAGCATTGAGCACAATCACTGGACGGCACGTTGGACACACGAAGGCCTGCTCAGCACTGACTGAGAACCACTGGACTAGCATCTGCTTCTCTTTCCCTTTTTTTGCCTGAAATCAGGGCATTTGATGTCGATTCTGACTCGAATGTTGAACATACTGGATTTTCTGTGCAATCCTGAGACCCTGCCCCTTGCTCCTTTCTCAGCAGGCCGGTGAAGCTCACTGTGTGGGGCACTGGATTTGGAGAGTGGGGTGAGCAGAAGTCCTGTGACAGTGGCAGGTTTTGTGAGCACAGCCCCCACCCCCACCCTGGGGGACACGGAAGTTTGGAGACCATGTGCATGTCTGCTATTTTCCCCATTTTATTGGACCCGCCAGAGCCTCACATGTCTTCAGAGAACTCAGCCATACTTAGCAGAACTAATAGCATCAGAATCTTTTACTGAAGGAAATCTGACAACCGGAAACACAAATCAAGCTTAGATTCTGTGGTGTGTGTCTGTGTTTCCTGTTTATGAATTATGCAATTCATTCTAAAACTATTTCATGCTGGGTTTGCATGACTTGATAAACTTTTTCAAGAGAAAACCACACGGCTGGACACTCACTGCCCAGCAATGTACACTTCAGTGGTTGGCATGAGGCCACAGCATGTCAACCTGCATTTAACACTCGACAGCACATTCCACCCACCTGTGATCAGCGTGTCACTCGGGATGTCTTCTATGATGCATTTCTCCTCTCGTTCCCCCACATGGAAATAAAAAGCAGTTGAGAGTGAGATAGAGAAACTTGAAAGAAATGTCAGCACTTGCATTTCTGTGGCTCTAGCCGCTCCGGTGGCTCTTGTCTGGAGTGAAGCAGCTGCAAGTGATACTGCTTATCCAGTGTTTACATTTCCTTGGGTATGTGTGTGGATTGATTTGTGTGAGAAGTGCCACAGGATGGCTGCCCTTGGGCAGGTGACTGCTGCAAGTCCCAGGGAACTAGACATCTGAACCGTGGAGCCTTTCCAAGCATGATGACATCAGGATGCCTTCTGATCCCTTGTTTTTAAGGATTTCGAAATGTTCTAGTAGAATGAAAGACAGAGCGGGCCTGGAGGAAACTGCGAAGTGCCAAGCCCAGCAGATGCCCATTGACCAGACCCACAGGGCCATTTTCTGGTGGTCTCCGCTGCCTGGCGGGAGGTGGGAGGAAGAAGCAAAGCCTGTGTCCTGGGGTTGAGAAGGAGAGGAGGGGAGTCCAGAGCAGGGAGATGGGTGTGGGAAGGCAAGCCGGTGTGGAAGTGTGGCCAGAGGAATGAGCAGGTTGCTGAGATGGGACGTGCTGGATTCAGAGGTGGTGGCAGCCTGAGTGTAAGTGAGGCCTGGCCCTGAACGAGATTCAGTCTGTTTCCTCATAAAAAGTTAGTTCACCCAGTGTGATCCATTAGGTCCTTTTAGTTCTGGCATCCAGTGTATTTTTTAAAGCTTTTGTTCCTATATGTTTATAGACCCAAAAAAAATTACAGACACAGTACAGAGAGGTCCCACATGCCCATCACCCAGCTCCCCCCAATGGCGACATTTCATGTAACTGAGAGACCACGTAACTGCAGCGTGGAACCGCAACGGGACGTTGCATTTTCTTTGAGCATCTTTAGAGAAAGATTTTCGTCTACTAGGTCTTCCATCGGGTCTTTTTCAGGGAAGTTTTGTTGATTTGCTCTTTTCCTTGGAATGGATCATAATTTCCTGTTTCTTTGTAGTCTTGTGATAGTTTGTTGAACACTGGACGTTTGGATGGAATAATGTAGTAACTGCAGATCACATTCTCCCCTCTCTGGGGTCTGCTGTTCTGTGTCATTGTTGTTTGGTTGTTGCAGATTGCCTGTGTGTCAGGACCACCTGAGACACAGGCTTCAGGTCTGCTCAAGTCTCTTGAGACGCCCCCAGGTGTTCTCAACTACTCCCTGTTCACTCTGCGTGTGCAGTATTTTTCAACACCGTGTCCTAACTGCTTGGCTCTGAAAGGGCAAATGTGGAAAATTAAGAGGCAGGGAAAAAGGGTGCCAGCTTTTCAAATCTCCTGCAAGTCACTTTGGTGGGAATGGGCGGGTCTTACAACAACTGGACTGCCCCCACCCTGTCTGCATCTCTGTTACTAGGAGTAGCAGCCACCAATCAGCCCACAGACCCCTGATATTTGGAAGATAAGGTCCTGTTTGCCCACCTTGGTCCCGGCACACTGCATGCTCAACCCCCGGCTATAGGGGGATGGGCGGCTGCTACTGTGCAAAGAGCTGAAGTTGACCAACTCACCCACGATTTACCACCCAGGCTTCCCCTGGAAGCTGCGAGCCTTCCACAGACTCCAGAGCTCCAAGGAAGTTGCCTCAGACAGACTGGTGACCTCCAGGTGGACACACATGCTCTCTGCCCCACCACCTGCTCCTCGTCTTTGGCCCCTCTGACAGGAGAGTGCTGCGGAAAGTGTTTTTGCACTGGGCTGTCTGCCTCCAGCTTTCCAGGGGGAGAGGAAACACCTTCGTGCTGGAGAACATCCTAAGCCTCCTGCACTGTGTTGTCATGGTTTTGGCTCATGTCTGTTCATCTGAAAGTGTATGAAGCCTTCACCTTGAAAGAGGGCGTTGAGGTCACGATTCTGGGTTAACAGTTTCTCTCAACATGTTCGAGGTGTGATTTGACTGCCTTCTGACTCCTTGGCTGCTGTCGGAAAATGGCTGTCATTCCAGTAGATTCTGCCCCCTTCCTCGGGGCCCTCTGAAGGTCTTCTCGTGTGCTGGTGCTCAGCAGTTTCATGTCATTTGCACGGGCAAGGGTGCTCTTCTCTGTCCTATTGGGGTATGTTATCCTTTCTGGTTCTGAAGATACCATCTTATTTCAGCCAGTTCTGTAACTTTGGCACTATTTTCTCTTTAAATGTTCCTGCCCCCACTGTCCCTGTTATATCCTCAGAGTGTTGGATTTAAAACATTTTAACACTTTTCATTTTGTCTTCCATGTCTTCTTGAAGTTGTTCTTCTCTCTGTCCTTCTGTGCTGCACTCTGGGTGACGTCCTCAGTACCGTCTTCCATTTCCCAGGGCCAGCCCTAACCTATTGACTGATTCCTGTCAATCCGTTCTTCCCAAATATGTCATTTGTTTCTGATCATCCCTATTGCTCGGCCATTTTTGTGGTACCTGTTCTCTGCTCTATTTCTGATCATTTCATTTTCGTGGGTCTCTGAATCTCCTAGTGTTTTGGGGGGCTGACTTTAAATCGGTGATTTGTTTTTTGGTTTAACTGGTGACTTTTGGGTTACACTCGTGGCTTGATTTTGATTGGTGGGAGGCCTGAGACCCATCCAAGGAGTTGGGAAAGCTTCCTCCAGAGAGAACTGTGTCTGCTCTTCCCTGATGCTGGGGGACACTCCTGCCCTTGCGGTCGTTTAGTGTGAACACCAGGCTGTCTTCTGGCCCCACTCAGCCCAGCCCCAGGAAGCCCTGCCTTTCCCAGAGGCTCAGAGTTCAGCCTCATCCCAGCTCCAACCCAGCTCAGTTTGTTTGTTTATGTTTGGAGGTGGGTGGAATAAGTGAGAGCTCTCCCACCTCTTGTGGAAAGGGCAGTGTCTCAGAGCGTTTCCACCCCACCTGGGTGGACCTAATGTCCCAGGTAGTTATCTGTGTCATGCCATCCTACCCTCCTTTCCCATAGTTTTAGTGGAGTTTGGGCACAAGTGGAGTTAGATGTGAGTGTCAGTTCACCATCTCGACGAGGACACCCCTCCCATTACTTCTCCTGCCTTCCAGCTCTTCTCAGTGCCCATGCCCTGTCCCCTGCCTTCTTTCCCCTCAGTGCCACCAACTGCTCAGCCCTAGCCACGTCACGTGTTTGGTGTTGCTGAGCATGGTGGACCATTCTCATGATCTTCCCCTCCTCCCTCATTTGGCACTTCAGATCACTTCCACCTCTGGGCCCTGCCCCCTGCTGGGCCCCGCCTACAGCCCCTTGAAACTGGTGTACATTTCTAGCCTGTGTGAGAGGCCTGCAGTTATCAGTATAGATGCTGGGACAACCTCGTTTGGTCCATGCCCCTCATCTATTCAGTGTACGATAGCACCACAGAACCCACAGGAGCCTCTGGAGTGAACCTGTCCTCACTCATTCCCTCACTCTCCCTGGACTGACCCAGACGGCCAAAACCTTCTGAACTGAATATTGTGAACAGGGTCAACTTAGACTCTGGAGTTGTGTTAGCTGCTAGTCTGTGATTATCTGCATTGCCATAAACCTGGATTCATTCATTCTACCATGTTCCTCACATCTCTGTGGTCAGCCTCCCTCTGCTGTGTGTCAGTGCACTGGCCTCTGACCTGCTCCCTTTTTCTGCCTCTGCCCCCTGCACTCAGCTCTCAAAATGACCAGATTACTACATTTGACACTTATGAGTTATTTCTCACTCAAAACTCTGCCATGACACCCCACCCCACTTCTCACCTCACTAGGAGCAGAAGCTCACCACCTGTCCAACCAGGCCTCTTGCCAGGCTGCCCCCACCTTCTGCACTGACCACAGAGGCCTCGAGGTTGTCCCCACAATGGAGGCGGCTTTTGCTTCTGCTGTTTCCCTGCCTGGGATGCTCATCACCAGACAGACTCCCCCTGGTGTCCTTCAGAGCTCTGCTCAGAGGTGGGCTCTTCAGTGAGGGTGTCCCCAGCTACTTTTCTGAGTGTCCTGCACTACCACCAGTGCCATCACCACCACCATCACTACTGTCACTATCATCACCACCATCACCATCACCACTACCACCACCATTATCACTGTCACCATCACCACCATCACCATCACTGTCACCGCCATCACCACCATCACCACTGTCACCATCACCACCACCACCATCATCACTGTCACCATCACCACTGTCACTGCCATCACCACCATCACCACTGTCACCATCACCACCACCACCATCATCATCACTGTCACCATCACCACTGTCACTGTCATCACCACCACCATCACCACTGTCACTGTTGTCATCATCACCACTGTAATCACCACTGTCATCGTCATCACTACCCTCCACCAGCACCAGCACCACCAGCAGTACTCCATCCCCTCTTCTCCAGAGCTGAGCACTGTCTAACGTAGGATTCCTTTACTGATTTGCGTCCATCACCTGTCCCTCAAGCCTCGGGCCTTAACCCAACCACGATTGTCTCTGAGGTGCTGCATGCCGTTCTAGGCACTCCATGGTGGGTGTCCTCAGCATGTCAGCTCCCGGTGGCTTCTGCCAGGGCACCTCCTTATTGACATGCACATTGGGGTCTGGAGCATCTCACAAGAGCAGTAAATATTCTGGCCCCAAATAACATTTGTCATCTTTACCCCCTGCCCTGGGCTCCACCCACCCCATGCTCCAAGAAGGAGGGGAAAATGGGTGTGGGTATTCACAGGGTCTGTACCACAGCATCTGTCCCCACCTTTCAGTGACCTTATGGGACTGTAAACACCCTATAAAATGCCCCTGGTCCTGTGAGTCCCACCTGCCAGTCTGCTGTGTGAAGGGAGTGTGTGGTCCATGTGTTCAGGTTGAATCGGTGCTTGGTTCTATGGTCCGCTCTGAGTCTGTGCTCAGGCTGCTTAACAGGCATGGTGAGGTCCTACACGTGACGATCCAGCACCTCGGCTTTATGGGTCAGACTTTGTAGTTTGCTGTTTCCTCTGATTTGGGGGTGTCCTGCTGATTTCCTCGTGTGTCTGTGGGCTTGGATGGTGAGTTCATGTTACCGTGGGAATTCTTTGAGTCCTGAATCTACAGTGGGTTCTCCAGGGAGGACTTGGACTCGTTTCTTCCAGTTGCCTCAGGGTATCACCAGCCCAGGAATTTTCAAGCAAAACTTTTAACTCAGGGTTTCCAGATCTCATGCCCACCTGAGCATGGGCTTACATCCAGGAATTTTCAAGGACAATTTTTTCTTCTCTGCAGAGCCAAGTCCAAGAAGGGCCATATTCTCGTAGGGCCAGCTGTTTGGTTGCTCCCACAACTGGGGGTAGTGCCGTGAGGTGAGGGCCTTGGACACCCCAGGTCAGCAGGAAGTCCAGGTGGAGTCTGGCTCCTGCATGTACCACTTACCTGTGGTGTTTGTTGTTTTGGCCTTGGAGGGGTCCATGCCTCCCCCACTTTGCCAGTGCATTGTTGTTAAACAGGGTGTCTGCGCTTGGCAGTGTGGCTCAATGGTTGAGTGTTGACCGTGCACCAAGAGGTCTCCGGTTCGATTCCCGGTCAGGGGACATGCCCAGGTTGTGGGCCGATCCCCAGTGGGGGCATGCAGGAGGCAGCCAGTTGATGTTCTCTCTCATCGATGTTTCTCTCACTCTCTCTCTCTATCTCTTCCTTTCTCTCTAAAATCAATAAGGATTTTTTCTTTCAAAGGGTGTCTCATTCTGTGTAGTGTCTTCGGAGCTCAGTGTCAGGACTCCTGCAGAACAGGTGAAGGGAGTGGAGTCCTGCTCCTCAGCCAGTGTCCGCTGTGTCTGCCACATGCCTGTGCTGTGCTGTGTCGCTGTCACCTGTGTGCCCTTCACCCCAGAGCCATTTCTGGGAGCCTGCAAGGCCAGCTCCAAGGGGCAGGGCTCTGTCAGCAGACAGGCACAGTGCAGGGCCTTGCTGGAGTGCAGGGGCCATGCACACGGGCTCAGGCTCTCTTGCGCCCTCCTGAGGAGCGTGGCCAGCACCCTTCCCTGGGGAGCACTGCCATGAAGCCTCTCCGAGCAGCAGGCACCCTGAGATCACGCTCAAACATTCTGCAGAGAAGCCGCCTCATTTCAGTGAACACCACCAGTCTGCTCAGTGGCTTGTCCAGGGATCAGCGCATGTCTAAGGCCCTGGCTGGGCCTCCACCCCCACTGGGAAAAATGGTCACAGGCAGCTGTTCTCATTCTTTCCTCCCGGAGGCCAAGGGTCAGGGTGACTGAGAGGAATGGGGCCAAGGAGAGGAGTGTCAGCCGAGGTGGAGGGGTCTGAGGTCGGTCGAGTTTGCAGGGAGGCGTGTCAGGGCAGGGAAGGGATATCTCCGGGCCCATGGATGGGTGGGGTGTGGGCCTGGGGACCAAAGGAGCCGCTGTGTCAAGGGGGAGCTGAACCTCTTAATCCTGAGAGGGCTAGGGAAATGGTGGCAAGGTATGCGGCCATATGGGGCCCTGGTCCTCAACAGCATGGAAGGGGAGCCTGCGTGAAGGGCAGAGGAGCCCTTTCTGGGCACCTGCAGGGCAGGATGGGGAGAGCTGTGGGATCTGAGTCTGCAGGAGTCCAGGCAGGAGGAAAATGATCTGAAAGTTCCCCATCTCCCACCACCCTCTGAGGGCCCCGCCCAGCCTCTGCTCCGCTCACTTGGGAGCCCCTGAGAGATCTGTGCTGATGGCACGGTGTTGTGAACCCCCAACCTCAGACAGGCCGGGGCAGTGAGCAGTGAGCCCACAGCCACCGCTGAGCTTGGGTTCTCGGTGCTCAGGGGCCTGGGGAGGGACTGGGTGTGTGCAGCGGGTCTGAACACCATGCTCATACTATTCCATCACTTGTCCTGTGCTCCTCGTGAAGTCTGGGGGAGACCCTCCTCTGGGGTGAGGCCCTTGTCTGCTCACTCTGTCCTGCTCGCCCAGTGCCCCTCCAGGAAACATGGGATGACAGCCACCGATGTCAGGAGACAGATCATCTTTATTCAAGTGCACAGATCAGTACAATGACGATGCCAGGTGAGGTGTCCCAGCCTGCCCCCTTTGTTTACCTCCTATGGCATCACCTGCTTGGATGCCAGGAGCAGCAAGCGCCCAGGGCAGCCTTGCTCTGAGGATCAAGCATAGGCTCAGGGCTCCTTTGCCAGCAGCTGCCTGGGCACCAGGACCGAGGTATTTCACAGCAAGCGCGTGGGGCTCGGGCTCCTGGGCCTGGGGTGCGTGGCTGTTCTGCAGGGCACCGGCCAGGCACTGTGCTCAGGCCCTCTGCATGGAGGACCACGGCCCACATGGTGGTCAGTACACCAGGCGTGATTTAGGGCAGACTGTGAGTCTCCACGAGAGTGGACCTTGGAATGTGGGGCCATGAGGGAGGACTTGCAGAAAGGAGGTGCCTATTCCTGACGTCCCCTCCGGCCCCGGGCACAGCTGTGCAGAGGGGTTGGTCAGCAGTGCAGCGCAGAGGTTGTAAAGCTGCCGGCTCGGCCTGCTTGCAGTGTGGCCCCAACCCAGAGGACTGGGCCCGCCAGCCACGGTTGAGGGGTGTGGGCTCGGGGCTCACACACAGTTGTCAGGGATGCACTGCGCCTCCTCTTCCAGCTCGGGGCAGGGTGCCCCATGGTTGGCAGGCTGCACACGGACATAGCGAGTCCTGATCTTGGCTCCCAGCTTTCCGCACGGACCTTCACACAGCCCCCAGGAGGACCATAGGGAGACCTCGCAGTCCAGTGGCGTTTCTGGAACTGGACCAAGCACAGAAGAGACCCCTGAGCCGTGTGGAGTAAGAGCTGGTGGCAGAGGGCACCCCAGGGTGTGTCCATCCCCTGAGGCCAGTTCCGGACTTCAGAGTGGAGAGGAGATGCTCGTATTGCTTTTCTAAACAGTTCAGAGTCAGCTACAGGAAAAGGTCACCAAACCCACCTGAGAAACCACTGGAATGACTGTCCTGTGCTGAGCTTGATGCTGTGGGGACTGACCCTGGCACCGTGGTGGCAAGAGCCCCCAGAGGACTCTCAGCCATGGTCACATTCCCTGGGGGGCACTTGTACCCCAGTGAGGCACACGCTGAGGGCCCAGCCTCCTGCAGGAATCCAGTCACTGACTGTTTCAGAGATGACCAAGGGGGGAGTGCAGCCCCACACTGCCCAGCACCTGACATGCAGGTTCCTGCCCCTGGTGGGCAATGATGCCCCCACTGATGTCCTCACCGTCCCCTCTGCCATGGAGGATCCAGGGAGCCACTCAGTGCAGTTTTTCCCATCTGCTGCAACAGGCCACGGGCCACACCTCTGACGGGGACTGGGCCTTGTCACACTTCCCTCCCAGGCTCATAACCTTTCACTTACAAATGTTAGGCGAGAGTTTGATCTCCCAGAACACTGAACCGCCAGCACCGTGCCATCTGCCAATGCTCTGAACCCCCAGCACCCCAGGGTCTTGCACTGAACCTGTTCTTGGAGTCACTCAGAGACGCAGGCTCACATGGCCCTAAGAGCACGGTGCCTGGGCTGTCTAAGCCCAGCAGCTGCTTTCTGGTTTGACTCCCTTCCTGACACCCTGATGTTGCTGGTGTCCTGGCCCAGCCTGGTGGGGGCATATCACACCCAAGAGCCTGGCTTCGAAATGGCAAGTTGGGGCTGCTGCAGGGGAGTACCCGGGACATGGATGACGTGACCTAACCCTGGACTGTTGCCCCTTGTGGGGTCCCATGTGGGCAGCAGGCTTGGCCTCCAGAAGGGTGGCGGCTGTCCTAACGTCACTGTGGAACCTCCACAGATGGTCCCTCTTGGGATGCTGATTTTCAGAGTTACTCTAAGGGTGAGAGGTACCCGCCTGGTGCAGAGGGCTTGGGATCTGCAGCTACCCAGCACAGTGGAGGCTAGACACGTCCTGTGTGACATGCCAACCTGAGTGGGTCTCGGCCCCCCACTTGCAAGTGGGCGTGGTAGCTCCTGACAGCCTGAGCGCTTGGCCCAGGCACACGGCTGCTAGGGCAGAACGCCCCAGTGGGGGTGCTACCCGGGCTCACCTGAGAGGCTGTCCAAGATCTCATTGCCCCTGCCTGCCAGGTCCATGGCCGGGGGGACGAAGACCCTAGGGCTCTGCCGAAGCCGCACCAGGGTTACCCTGGCGATGGGGGGCAGGGCCTTCAGCCGTGGGTAGTAGAAGGAGTTTGCGGGGTGGCTGGGAGAGGAGGATGTTATCTGAGGAAGATGGGAGAAAGGGCATCAGCCCTGGCGGGAGCCCAGGAGCCCCCTGTACCCACTGTGTGCTGGGCCCTGGCGGGAGCCCGTGGAGGCCAGCAGGACAGTGCGTAAACCCCAGCCTTGACCCTCACAGCTCATCGGGGCGCCTGGCCTGTGGCCCAGGGAAGGGGCTGGGAAGGCCTGGCCTCCTCCAGGCCACCACCTCGAGCCCCATCCTATAGGGCAGCTCCTTCCCAAGCAGGGCCACACCCCTGCTCCCTGGGCCCCTATGGACAGGGTGCTGTCCAAACAAGGAACAAGCGGGGCCCCTCACCTCGGTCACTGTGTCCTGAGGGACAGTCGCAAAGTTGGGGGAGGAGAAGGTGAAGCCACTGTCTGTCCCAGCATCATGAGGGTGAAGGTCCACGGTGACCTGCTCCCTCCAGCGGCTCCCGTCACACAGGTCCAGACTGTCCACTCCCACAAACCAGTCAGGGCTGGGGACAATTCGGACCACAAAGGACACCTGGGGGGGCCAGGCGCTCAGCAAAGTGGCCACCACAACCCACGCCTCTGCCCTCCCGCCCACCGTCTGCCACTCACTAGCGAGTGCCTGGCATGGACCTCGAACTCCGCAGAGGTCTGCCCCGTGCCGCTGGGCACGGCGGGTGCTGAGAACACCTCATGGACACTCTGAAGCTTTTCTCCAGCCGCCTCGATCTCCTTCATCAGGGCCCAGGCCTCGCCCCGCTCGGCGAAGTCCCTCAGCCCGTTGCTGGCATATTGGTTCTCCCGCCACATGCTGTAGTCAGAGCTGTGTGCTGCCCCTGTGGATCCGCCGGCGCGTGAGCTGCTGCCCAGATTGAGCACAGCCCCCCCCCCCCCCCTCGTAGACAGCCTGTGGCCTCTGCTGCCTGGGAACCTTGCTGGTGTGACAGCGTCCGGGCCTCCCTGTGACGCTGGCCATCCTCCCCACAACACCCCAGAGCGCAGGTCATCACCGGCCAGCGTGCGTTAGGCACCCGGGAAATATTTCTGGCACTGAAGCAATGGGATTAGCACACCCTCCAAACTGAGGTGTGGTGCAGCTGTCGGGCTGTCCCCTGGGGCGGACGGGCCAGGAGCAGGCAGCAGGCAGGGCTGTGCTCACCCAGCAGGGAGGACCACTGCGCAGGTGGCCGGAACAGCGGGTACTGCTTGGGAAAGGCGGTCTGGCTCCACTTGCCCGTGAAGGTGATGCTGTACTTGGCCAGGGGCCGGGCCGTGCACACGGAGTCTCCCCCCAGTGGCTGGCTGGCTGTGGAACCAAGTGTGGCCAGGAGGAGAGCCCAGAGGGCCCTGCCCTGGACGGTGGCTGGGGTCAGGGTCTCCATCACCTAGGAGAGGAGGGAGAGCACCCCACACTGGTACACTGGCCCCAGACACCCTGCAGCGTGCCTGCCCTCACAGACCCAGTCAGCAGCCCTGAACATCCCTTCCCCGCCCCACCTCAGGGCTCTGGCTGACCCCCATCCCAGGGGGTGAAGCCGCTCAGATGACAGCTGGATTTGCCGGCACGTGTCTAGGAGCCCAGGGCTCCTGGCAGGTTTGGGGCCCGGGTGCTAGGCACGGCATCCCCAGTTCCACACCCCGGCTCTGCTGTCCGAGGGAACCCAGAACCTGGAGGGTACTTTTGTGCTCACGATGCTCAGGACTACTTGGCCAACATGGGCCTCCCTCTGGGTGCTGCAGGTTTCTGGGCGGGGGGATGGAGGGAGCCCCAGGAGACCTGGGTGACTGGGGGATGGGGACAGAGGTGTACGCGCGGGTACTCACCCAGCAGGAGCAGCAGGAAGTCAGGCAGCCGGGCTGTGGCCTGGGACGGTCCCAGCAAGAGCCCAGAGCTCCAATTTGTGCTGAGGATGGCAACCGGCTGGCCAGCGAGGCCCCAAGTCCTCTACTGTGTCCGGCAGAGAGCGGATGATAGGACGTGAGGGAGAGAAAGGGACTTCGGTGCCCTGGAGCTGCCCTGGCCGCCCTGGCTCTGAGGCTGAGCAGAGGCTTCTCCGGCGCTGAGGTCACTCCTCTCTGGTCGGTGCCTGCCAGTTGCCGCACCCCTTTCTTTGTCTTCCCCTCCCTCCTGCCCTCCCCCTCCTTCTCCTCTCCCTACTGCTCTCTGCTTTCCCCTCAGGCCTTCCCAGTGTCTCCCTGGAAGTGGCGCCAAACCCAGTGTATTGCGGCCACAATCAGGCTGCAAGTGGGCTCAGGGCTGAGAGCACAGAGCTGTGGAGCCGGCCAGCACACTGCCGCTCGGAGCCTGGGGCCAGTGCTGGGGCTGCGAGCCGCCCACCAGGGCCCTCCCGAAGGGCTGCCAGGCGCCCTCAGGGCAGGAGGCCATCCCTGACCCGCTTCCCTGGAGGGGCAGAGCGTCAAGGGTGCTTGGCATGCAGGACGCCGCTGACAGGATCTGAGTTCGTACTGCTGTCAGGAGAGTGTTTCTAGAACTGAGTCACGAGTGGGGCTGGGAGAAGAAGAGGAGGGTCTGCCCTCAGAAGGCTCTGCCGTTCAGAGCCATGGCAGGGCTTCACCTGCTCAGGAAAAGAAGAGCCAGGAGGGACGGACGCTCACAGAGCCAAGTGCTGTCACCTGCGTTCACGTGCCGCAGCCCAGAGCAGTGGCTGTGAGATCACGGGGCCTCGCGGGCACGCAGTCCACTCGGTGGCTCAGACGTGGACGCGGGACTTCACGCCCAGAGAGCTTCTGTGTGGCTCATACAGAGTCGTTCAGAATTCGTAACTCACTGAAAAATAACATGAGTAAACCTATCGCACGTTGATAGAAACAGCATAATGTTTTCTGAAAACAACTACGTTTTCAACAAGAAAACCTTGGTGAGAAAAGGCCCGGCTCTGCATCCGCGCCTGTTGCACGGGTGTGTCGTCGTCTCTGCGGCCCTCGCTGGAGAAGGGCAGTGTGCGTGGCCTTGGTGGGTCGTGTGGATGTGTGGCAGCTCTGGGAAAGCCCACACACTGGAGGGCACGTGGGCAAACAGATGGCATTTCCCAGCTCTTGGCGTCTTGTTCTCCGTGGAGGATCGCTGATCCCGGTTTGGGGACAGAAGTAGGGCATGCCTGGGACGTGGCGTCTGTTTGCTCACGGTTCACTCAGGCACAATCCAGTTCTCACCCACTGTTAAGCAGCCACCAGTGGTCTCTGGGCTCTCCCCATTTCACCGAGGCCCAGGATGGCTGAGAGGCAGCCCAGTGTCATCAGGCTGCTTTTCCAACCCTCACACCCACGTGGAAGGGCTCTGCAGCTCTGTGGGGCCTCACCTGGGATGTGCTGCCAGTGGGGCCCAAAGGCCAGGGGATATGGCCCAGCCTGGTCCAGGGCCTAGGAGGAGGGTGGCCAGGCTGGCATTTCCTTTGGTGGCGGAATGCTCTTCAAGGTCAAGGCTGAGGAGTTCTGGGACACAATGGGACAGGGATAGGGCCCGGTTATTTGCCGTGCTCAGAGAGGGGCATAGAGAGAGACCCAGGGACAGGTGACCTGTGGCCCCTTGGTCTAGGCTGAGCCTCAAATGGGGAGCCCAGCCAGTAGGGAGTAGGCTACGCTGTGAGTCCTGAACTCTGCTGCAAACCACTCTGACCCTCAGGCTCCTCTTCTGCAAACCAGGATGCTACATCTTGTCTCCTGCTGAGGATGAAGTATTGAGCACCTTCTGGGTCTCAGCAGTGGGGACACAGAAGTGACCTCAGTAGACAAAAGCCCTGGTCCCCAAGGCTGCAGGAGAGCTGGAGACAGACAGAATACACTTTGTGGATTGGAGTCTGTTATTCATCGAGTGCTTGGTTAACTGGTTGACACTGATCCCAGGGTCCTTCCTGTAAGTCACTGTGGTCAGTCACCCTGAGGTGGTTTTAGGGGAATGAGGCCCAGGGGTGTGGCTGCAGGCCAGGACTGTGACTAAGGGCATGTCCTTGCCCCCTAACCCCCCAACCTCAGTGCCTGCTTTAGCTCAAGTCAGTATAAGTGCAGAGTGGGCCCCGCCTCAGAGGAGTCTTTAACCCAAGGGTGTGGCTAGTGGTGGATTTTGGGCAGCTGTGAAGTCCTTCCTGACTGGGGAGTTGGGGTTTGTAGCTGCTCAGACTGGCCTCAGAGGGGTGTGCGGTTTCTAGGAGCCTGAGCCTGTGAGTTGCTGAGAACAGGCCTGGCATTCAGGAGTGCTGGGTAAGCCCTGTGTCGTCATCCTCCATGCCCGGCTGTGGTCCTGCTATGGAGCCCAGAACCCGGGATGCCCCCAGGGGTGCTCCACTTCCAGCTGAGCCGGGATGACCGTGGTCACCTCTCCCTGTGGATTCTGGCCAAGGGGGCCTCTAGGTCTGGCATAACAAGGCTCTTTCAGGGCCCTCCCGGGGCGCGGCCCAAGCCTGAGTTGGGTTGGTGGGGGGACAGGCCGGCTCCTCCTCAGCACACAGACTCAGGCCTGTGTCTGGCTTTCTGGGGGGACCCTGCCAGTCACACAGGCACACGTTTGTCTGCTCACTCACCCACTCAGCAGACATTGACCAACAGCTGTTCCTGCCAGATACCGCAGACCGCACACCGCTGTCCCCAGGCTGCGCCAGGCCTGCAGGCGAAGGGCTCCCACCCCATCCCTTCAGCTCTTCATTCAGGGCACTCCCAGGAACCTCCTGCCACCTCCTGCTCACAGGCCTCGGAGCACCTCCTGAGCTGAGGCCAGGGGAGTTCCCGGGGACGGCCGAAGCCCAGCTGATGTAAGCAGAGGGATGTGCCTTAGGTGTTGGCCACTTCCGGAGCTGTGGGGTGAATGGACCTAGGCTGGGCTTCCAAATCCACCAGCTGCTACTGGCCCCACCTGCCCGGGAACCTGCCCACCTCCCTCCAGCTCAGTTCTGCTCTGGACTCAAGGTTTCTGAGTACCCTGAGCCATGGTGGATCCTGGGTCCTAGGCTTAGCTTTGCAGCCTCTGCGGTTCAGGGTCGGGAGGTGCTGAGCCAGGGAGCCCCGCAACCGCTCTCCTCTTGCTCCAGAGCTAATGCCCAGTGGGGCCTGCCTGCAGGATGGCCCTGTAACCCTGCCCCTTCCGACCATGCCAGAGGCCAGAGAACCCAGCCTCTGGCCAAGCATGTCAGTGACCTCCAGTGGCACTTTTCCCAGGAGCCACAGATCTGGTGGTGCCCTCTGGCTGTGAACTCAGAATTGTCTGCCTCTGTGTGACAGCCCCCCAGGAACATAGGTCTGCCTGTGCTGGGCTGCATTTGCCACCACATCTCATCCAAGTTTAGAAGCCAGGACTTCAGCAAACATGGCAAAGTGGGGATTTCTGAAAACGCTGTCATTCATGAAAGAGAAAACAGGCAGAAAAAGGTCAGAACAAAATCTTTCAGTATAGTGAGTCCTCAGTGTCCTCGACAGATTCTGTGATTATCGGCGAAACCACGTGAGAGGAAGCCAGTCGTGTGCCAGGCTGACGATGCAGACAAGGGTGAAGCTCCCAAGAGTCTTATCGGTGTTGGAACCAGACAACGGCATCGAACAGCCCAGCACGGGACCCACTGTGCATGCAGAGGAGCCAAAGGCATGTGGCCGTGTTTGGCTTTTATCCAGAAAGTCCGCTGAATCCTTGCTAAGAACAGAAGAGAAAGTTATGAGTGTTTCTGTGGTTTATTTGTCTTCACCATCTGAAGTGCCCCGCTCGGTGGTATTAGTCGCATTGTTGTGTGGCCATCACCAGCGTCATCCTCAGAGCTCTTTATCCTGTCAAACTATTGTCCCCACCGAACACACTCCCGTCCACCCCCCGTGCTCTTGGCACTCACCCTTCTACTTTCTTTATGAAGGTGACCACTGTGGAGACTTCGTATATGTGGAATCATACAGCATTTATCCTTAGTGACTGGAAGACTTAGAGTAATGTCCTCAAGGCTCACCCCTGTGGTAGCAGGTGTCAGAGTTTCCTTCCTTTAGGAGGCTGAAGAACATTTCTGCTTCTCCGTTATTCATAGGTGGACACCCACAGTTCAGCTGTTATGAATAGCACTGCTGTGAACATGGGTGTGCGGACATCTCTTCAAGACCCTGCTCTCCAGAAGTGGGATCACTGGGTCCCATGGTAGTTGTACTTTTAATTTTTTGAGGAACCTCAGTGATTGTATCATTTTACATCCCCACCCACAGTGTACAGGGTTCCAGTTTCTCCACATACTCGCCAGCTATAAAGTGTTTGAATTTACCCAAGCTCATCCCACTCTCCAGCTCTGGCAGCCTTGAAAATTCACGACCCACATTCATGGTAAAAAGCAGTCAACAGCGGTCAGTCCCAGGATGGAACAGAATCGGGCTGGGTCTTTCAGAGAAGCATCCCAGAGCGGTCACTCTGGCCTGTCTATGGTTTCCGGGAAGACCCCACTTGCGTGGCCGCCTGTATTTGACTTGATTCAGAGCTCACTCGGCATAAAAGCTGTTTGCCAAGAGAACACAAACGGGGCGTGGGCCTTGGAGAGGGGCAGCCATGTCCTCTGGCTCTTCACCCTCCTGTGGGCTGGAGGTGGTGTTTCCAAGCCCTGGAGGTGTAGGGGTGGTGGGTGAAGGGCTCTGTCCCTGCGCCGTGGGAGCAGAGCAGCCATCAGGTACAGGAACAAGGAATGCCTCTGGCCATCCTCACCTCTTTGTGGGGCTGGTCACAGCTCCTTTGTCTGCACTGCTTTTCCTTCGGGTGCTTATTGCTAGAGGAGTGAAAAGTCACTCATTTAAAAAAATTTTTTGTCTTTATTGATTTAATTAATTAATTAATAAAATTAATCCTCACCCGAGGACATTTTTTTGTATTTGTCTTCAGATAGAGCGGGAGGAAGAGAGATAGAAACATGGGTCTGAGAGAGACACATTGACTGGTTGCCACCCACATGACCCCAACTGGGGCCGGGGACAAACTGCAACCAAGGTATGTGCCCTTAGTGGGAACTGAATCCGGGACTCTCTGGTCTGCGGGCCGATGCTTTAACCGCTGAGCCAAACCGGCCAGGGCTGTCTTTATTAATTTTAGAGAGGAA